TCACTGTCATTCCCTTCTTTAAAATCAAGGATTATTCTTACAAAATACTCTAGGGAACATTGAAAAACAGTAAATTTTTTATAATATATAAATTTTAAATTAAAAACCCTGATTTACATCATAGGTACAAAATAATATCATTGGATGCTTGGCGTGTAGACATAAACAAGAACAAAATAACCAGGGTTGACCAGAAGGCATTATATTTCTGTGGATTTCCTACCCTGAAACACATCAAACACAAAGTCAGTAATTATTTTGTTCAGAATTTTTTCACTTTATTGAATGTGAAGTGGTTTTGAAGAAAGAATTAAAATTAAATTGTTTAAATTTTTTAAAGTTTTTTTTGAAGAAAAGTGGTGTTCAAGTATTCCAGCAAAGCAGTCGGGGAGAAAACATGATGTTGGAAATCTTAGTGAATACAGAATCAGATGAACTTGTAAGTATTCTATTTATCTTTCATTTATTATTGTAGATGCTATTGTGTATCAACTGTTTCTAGTTGTTGAGGTGCTTACCAAAAAGGGATAACATGTAACTCTAGAAGTTCACAGAATAAAGAATAAAGCAAAGAAAATTTTACACAAATTAGATAACAGTTTATGAACCTTTAAAATTGTGATAAAATTAACAAAAAAGGTCCAGAGATTTTGAAAACTGTTTGAGCCATAAGTACATCTTATAGGTGATAATAGATTTATGCTGGGTGCTAAAAAACAAGATAGGGCCAAGAGGAAAAAAGAAGAGAAAAGGTATCCTAGTTCAAAGAAATGTCAGGAGCTGGGGATTTTAATAAGAAAATAAATGTTATTTATTCTTTTAAACATTTTTGTATCTCTTAAATTTAAGAAAATAATAATTTAAAAGTTGTATGTATTCATTTTAATTTGCTATGGGACACATGCACTCATCAGAGAGAGACAGAGAGAGAAAGAGAGCGGAAGTAAGAAAGCAAGCCACCACATCCAGGATTCAAACCGTAGTTGGACGTGTGGAAGTCCAGTGCCTTAACAGCCATGCCACCTGCTTGCCCTCATCTGAAATATTTTATAATTTTTTCTTTTAGAATAAATGTTATATATTTGAGGTGAAGGAATAGATAAACCTGACTGAAACAGAGGACTTATGTTAGGAAATAGTAGAAGATAAGTTTGAAAAAACAGATTGGGGCCAGACTATGGAGCAGATAATAATAGTAGTGGATGTGAGAGTGGATATGCCACTCCAAAAAAAAAAAAGGAAAGCTAGGCACAATAGTACCAAAGGTTTAGAAAACCATAATTTAGTGCAGGACAAAATAATGCAACAAGAGACCAGTGTCGCAACCTTAAAATAAGAATTTGAAACTTTCAAGCCTAACTATAGTGAAAAGGGAAACTGAGTAGATAGTTCAAAGCCTATTTGGAAGTATGAAACTGGTCTGGAGGAACAAATTGATGAAAATCTGCTATGGGTGATATGCTTCAGAAAAGCTCAGATATTGAAAGTGGTGTGTACAGCAAAAAGCTTGATGATCAGTCCAAAGGAAAACATGCTTCAGCTGTTTCCTCCAAAGAGAACACGTGAATCCTATTTAAATCACCTCCAGTTTTCCCAGTAGACAATAGCAGTGCTAAAATAGTTCCTAAAATAAGTTATGCAAGAAAAGTTAAGGAAAACTTCAACAAAACTATACAGAACTCTTCTATGTCACTGCTTTTGTCTTCATCCTCTTCATCATCTGCTGGAGAAACTTAGACCCAATCTTCAAGTCAGTTAACCTAGGTCCCTATGTCAGCACTGAAATATGTTACTTCTGTCAACTTTTCTAATGGGCCTGATTTAGCAGGGACTGATGCAAGTATGTATCCTCCAGAGGGTCAGCCACTGCTGACTACTGCTTCTAATACTTTGACACCTATCCCTTCTGGGGCTGATTCAGTTATCCAGGACATCAGTTTAACTTCAGCAGCTGTTGAACAAATTAAGTCTAGACTTTTTCATCTAATCTTCAAATATACAAACTGTGCTCTTGAGCACAGCACAAGTGGATCTGCCCTCTCATACAGATCAGCAAAATCTAAGCAATATTTTCCAGAATCAGTGGGGTTTATAAATGAACCCAGTGCTGGCCCTGAGACTATTACTGGAAAGTCATCAGATCATAAAGTGATGGAGGTGGCATTAAATAACCTCCTGACAAAGAAAAGCCCAGGTCCTGATGGTTTCACTTCTGAATTCTACAAAACTTTTAAGAAAGAGTTAATCCCCATTCCATTCAAATTATTTCTTAAGATCCAAAAGGAAGGAAACTTCTCAAAGTAATTTTATGAAGCTTCCGTCATCCTCATTCTCAAAATAAAGACATGACAAAAAAAGGAGAACTACAGACCAGTATCTCTGATGAATATAGATGCAAAAATTCTCAACAAGATACTTGCAAATCGTATCCAATAACATATAAAAAAGATTATTCATCACAGCCACGTAGGCTTTATTCCAGGAATACAAGGGTGGTTCAACATACACAAGACCATAATTATAATACACCATATTAACAGAAAGAAAAATTAAAAATGTGTGATCATTTCAATCGATGCAGAGAAAGCATTTGATAAAATACAGCATCCTTTCATGATTGAGACTGTCAGCAAGATTGGTATAGAAAAGTCATTTCACAACACAATAAAAGCCATATATGAAAAACCTATAGCTAACATTATACTGAATTGGTAAAGCTAAAAGCTGTTCCACTAAAAACTGATACTAGACAAAGGTGCCCACTTTCTCCACTGCTTCTTTTTTTTGGAGAGGTTTTTGCTATAGGGCGCGTGCGCTCGCCAGACAGACAGAGAGATAAGGAAAACATGCTTCAGCTGTTTCCTCCAAAGAGAACACGTGAATCCTATTTAAATCACCTCCAGTTTTCCCAGTAGACAATAGCAGTGCTAAAATAGTTCCTAAAATAAGTTATGCAAGAAAAGTTAAGGAAAACTTCAACAAAACTATACAGAACTCTTCTATGTCACTGCTTTTGTCTTCATCCTCTTCATCATCTGCTGGAGAAACTTAGACCCAATCTTCAAGTCAGTTAACCTAGGTCCCTATGTCAGCACTGAAATATGTTACTTCTGTCAACTTTTCTAATGGGCCTGATTTAGCAGGGACTGATGCAAGTATGTATCCTCCAGAGGGTCAGCCACTGCTGACTACTGCTTCTAATACTTTGACACCTATCCCTTCTGGGGCTGATTCAGTTATCCAGGACATCAGTTTAACTTCAGCAGCTGTTGAACAAATTAAGTCTAGACTTTTTCATCTAATCTTCAAATATACAAACTGTGCTCTTGAGCACAGCACAAGTGGATCTGCCCTCTCATACAGATCAGCAAAATCTAAGCAATATTTTCCAGAATCAGTGGGGTTTATAAATGAACCCAGTGCTGGCCCTGAGACTATTACTGGAAAGTCATCAGATCATAAAGTGATGGAGGTGGCATTAAATAACCTCCTGACAAAGAAAAGCCCAGGTCCTGATGGTTTCACTTCTGAATTCTACAAAACTTTTAAGAAAGAGTTAATCCCCATTCCATTCAAATTATTTCTTAAGATCCAAAAGGAAGGAAACTTCTCAAAGTAATTTTATGAAGCTTCCATCATCCTCATTCTCAAAATAAAGACATGACAAAAAAAGGAGAACTACAGACCAGTATCTCTGATGAATATAGATGCAAAAATTCTCAACAAGATACTTGCAAATCGTATCCAATAACATATAAAAAAGATTATTCATCACAGCCACGTAGGCTTTATTCCAGGAATACAAGGGTGGTTCAACATACACAAGACCATAATTATAATACACCATATTAACAGAAAGAAAAATTAAAAATGTGTGATCATTTCAATCGATGCAGAGAAAGCATTTGATAAAATACAGCATCCTTTCATGATTGAGACTGTCAGCAAGATTGGTATAGAAAAGTCATTTCACAACACAATAAAAGCCATATATGAAAAACCTATAGCTAACATTATACTGAATTGGTAAAGCTAAAAGCTGTTCCACTAAAAACTGATACTAGACAAAGGTGCCCACTTTCTCCACTGCTTCTTTTTTTTGGAGAGGTTTTTGCTATAGGGCGCGTGCGCTCGCCAGACAGACAGAGAGATAGAAAGCAGGAAATCACCCCCCAGGGGGGATGGCCACGCCGCAATCCCTTCTCCTCCATTCTCCTCTCGGGATCTTGGGCACGCACGCACACGCGCCCGGCGTGAGTTTAAGCCACCGGGTCCGGGACTCGAACCGCGGTCGACTACGTGGGAGTCCAGCGACATAGCCATTACGCTAACTGCTGGTCCCTCCACTGCTTTTTAATATAGTGCTGGAAGTCTTAGTCAATGCAGTCAGAAAAGAGAATAATATAAAAGGCATTCAAATAGGCAAAAAAGAGTTGAAAATATCTTTATTTGCAGATAACATGATGGTATACTTAGAAGACCCAAAGTTCTCCATGAAAAAACTTCTCTAAGTAATAAATTCATACAGTAAAGTAACAGGATACAAAATCAACATCCAAAAATCTATAGCATTTCTTTTTTTTTCTTTTTTGGAGAGGTTTTTTTGCTATAGGGCTCATGCACTCGCCAAGAAGACAGAGAGAGACAGAAAGCAAGAAATCACCCCCCAGGGGGAGTGGCCATGCTGCAATCCCTTCTCCTCTGTTCTCTTCTTGGGATCTTGGGCACGCACGCACACGTGCCCGGCGTGTCTTTAAGCCACCAGGTCCAGGACTCAAACCGCGGTCAACTACATGGGAGTCCAGCGACATAGCCATTACGCTAACTGCTGGTCCTAAATCTATAGCATTTCTATATACAAACAACAAGTTGAATGAAGGAGACCTGAAGAAAGGAATCTCTTTTACCATAGCCACAAAATGTGTAGGATACCTAGGGATAAACCTAAAAGAAAGTCAAAGACCTTTACAAAGAAAACTGAAAATCTTAAAAAAGATATTGGAAAGGACACAAAAAGATGGAAGGACATCCCATGTTCCTTGATTGGAAGAATTAATGTAACAAAAATGGCAATTTTACCCAAATTAATTTACATATTTAATGCAATTCCAATCAAAATACCAGAGACATTCTTCACAGTTCTAGAAATGACAGTCATATAATTTGTCTGGAGTCATTAAAGACCTCATATTGGCAAAGCAATCCTGCACAAGAAGAGTGGAGTGGGGGGCATCTCATTCCCTTACCACAAAATATTCTCTAAAGCTGTGATAATCAAAACAGATTGGTATTGGCAAACAAACAAACAGGTGGACAAATGGAATAGAATAGAGACTCGAGAAATAAACCCCAAAACTTACAGCTAACTGATTTTTGACACTGGATACAGGTCAATCCAGTGGAAAAAGAAAAACTTCTTTAGCAAATGGTGCTGAAAAAACTGGGTATCCACCTGCAGAAAGATGAAACTGAATCCCCATCTTTCACCACTAAAAACAGTCTACTCAAAATGGATCAAAGATCTGAACCTAAGACCTCAAACCATAAAACTACTATGGAAAACACTGGGAAAACTCTGGGAGACATTGGGATGGGCAAAGGCTTCTTATATAAGACTCCCAAAGCATGGGCAGTAATCCCTAAAATAGACAAGTGGAACTATATTAGATTAAGAAGTTTCTGCACAGCAAAAGGCACAGTAATTAATGTGAATCAGCAGCCCTCAGAATGGGAGAATATTTTTGTAAACTATGCCTCAGATAAGGGACTGATAACTAGAATACACAGGGAACTCAAATGACTTACCTGAAATAAAATTACTAACTCAATTAAAAGATGAGAAAATGAGCTGAACAATAATTTCTCTAAGGAAGACATACAGTCAAAAAGCATATGAGGAAATGCTCAACATCCCTCATCATAAGGGAGATGCAGATTAAAACCACAATGAGATACCACCTAACCCCCGTCAGAATGGTGAAGATTAAAAATACAAAGTTTTAAGCGTTGGCAGGGCTGTGGTGAAAGGGGAACTCTCCTGCACTGTTGGTGGGAATAGAAATTAGTCCAGCCACTGTGGAACACAATATGGAGGTCCTCAAAGATCTACAAATAGAACTACCATTTGATCCAGTAATCCCACTTCTGGGTATCTACCCAAAGGACAGGAGAATGCTTAGTTAGAATGCTTAGTTGCACATTAATGTTTATTGCAGCATTCATGATTGCTAAGACATAGAACCAACACAAATGTCCACAGATTGAAAAAGTGTGGCACATATACTCTATGAAATACTATTCAGCCATATAAAACAAGACCCTGACATTTGATAGGAAGTGGTCGAATATGGAAAATTTATTGCTGAGTGAAGCAAGCCAGGCTATGAAGGAAAGATATTGTATGTATCCACTTAATATATACAGATTATCCCCACTCTGTGGTAGAGATTGAAATATTAGAGGGCATAAAAGCAGTGAAAATAGTTATGGATGCTTAAGACAATGTTGAATGAAGAAGGGAGGAGGGAAGAGTATAGAGAAGGAAAGCAGGAGAAAAAAAAAGAGCATGACATTTGTAGCACAAAGAAATTCTTTATTACCCGTTGATGATAACATGTATAGTATTCTCAACTGGACTGATCTGGGAAGTATTTCACATTAGATAAATTTTCTTTACAAGCCAAATGATATATTGTGATTGAATGTTTAAAAAAATAAAGAATATAATAATAATAATCTAAAAAAAATGAAAAACTATTTGCCGATGATGATGTAGAAAGTAATATTTTTGTCTTGACTGATATGCATGGTAATCATGCTGGAAAAAGAAATATTATACACTGTAAAGATATATGTGATTAAATGTAATACAAAAAATAATAAAAATTTTTCAAAATGTTTATTGAAATCTTTTGTTTGTATGAAGATTTCTCTTGGACCTGAAACATTAATAAGCTTTGCTTTTACTTTAAGAGTATAGAGAATGTAGCTTCATCAGTACTTGGAAAGTCCATCTTTGTTAATTGGCCTCACCTTGAAGAAGCTAGAGTTGTGGCTGTATCAGATGGAGAAACTAAGTAAGTAATATTAGATTTATAATTTTTTAAACTTATACTTGCTTTGCAATTTGGTGGCTTTTATCGATTCTTTTTTTTTATAACTGATAAAATGATTGTAAATACATTTATACTCTATAGTGAAAATGAAAGTCCTCTCACCACAACAAAGTTTAATCACCATAGGGGCTGGCAGGTGGTGTGGTGGTTAAGGTCAGTACCAGTGGCTCCCATCCAGTGGCTCCCACATGAATGACCACAGTTCAAGTCTCAGACCTGATGGTCCACTCTCTCTCTCTCTCTGTCTCTCTCTGTCTCTCTTTCTCTTGTCAAAATACTACTACTACTAATAGTAATAATAAATATTTTTTAAATGTTCAACCATTGTATATTCCTAGAGATAGTTTAAATATCTCTAGTTTGTTTTAGTTAGTTTGTTCCGTTTCTCTTCTTTTCATTTTAGTAGTTTAGAAGTTCTGTATCCTAACTTTTTTCAAGCAGTGGTTATCTTTATAATTTTAATTCTGCATTACAATTGTAAATCTGCAGGTGCTCAAGTCCCTTATATTAAATGACATAGTACTTGCCTATAACCTAGACACATCTTCCCGTATACTTTCTTTTTTTGTTTTGTTTTGTTTTGTTTTTCAGTTTGTTGCTGTAGACCATGTGCTTGTTGGAGAGAGCCAGAGAGAGAGAAAAAGGAAGAGAGGGAAAGTAAGAAATCGCCCCCCCCAAGGGGGACGGTCATGCTGCAGTTTCTTCTCCTCCATTCTTACCTCAGGATATTAGGCATGCATACACGTGTCCAGTGTGATTTTCTCTTTTCTTTTTCTCTTAGTATTAGCCATAGGGCACATGCACTCACTGGAGAGAGACAGAGAAAGAGAGAGGGAAAATGAGAAATCTTACCCAGAGGGTATACCCACGCCAAAATTTCTTCTGCATTCTCCTCCTAGGATTTTGGGCACTTGCACACGTGTACCCGGTGTCATTTTCAAGCTCCCAGCTATAGGACTCAAATCATGGTCAGCATGTGGGATCCAGCACATTAAACACTATGCTACCTGCCGGCTCCCCTCCCATATACTTTAAATAATCTCCAAATCACTTATAATACAATAGGGTATATCTCTACATCTCTTGATTTATGGGGATTCAACATAATGCTTGGAGCTTGGCAAATTCAAGTTTTGCTTTGGAATTTTAATTTTTTTTCTCCAGACATTTTAAATTTGTAGTTGGTTTAATCCACAGATGAAGAATCCACATATATGAAACTCTTCTGTACAGAATACCAATAGTATATTATTTGGCAAATATATTTCTCTTTTTGACAAAAATGAAGCATATATAACCTTACCTTGCTGTACTTTCTCGGGTTTGATTTAAATAGTACATTTTTTTCTTTAAGGTTTTTGCCACAGAGTGTTTATGCTCACTGGAGAGAGAGGCAGAGAGACAGGAGTCTCTTCCAGAATTCCAAGAGGAGAATGAAGGAGAAGGGATTGCAGCATAGCCATCTCTACTGGAGGGTTCTCTCTTTCTCTCTCTCTGTCTCTCCTGTGAGTGCATGCACCATATAGTAAAATCACCAAAAAACAAACAAACCAAAAAAGTCAATATCTTCTTTCTTTTAAAGAGAGATTTTTTCCCCCTACAGGGCACATGCGCTTGCTGAAGAGACAGAGACAGAGAGACAGAAAACAGGAAATCACCCCCCTGGGGAAATGGCCATACTGCAATCTCCTCTTCTCCATTTTCTAACTGGGATCTTGGCCCACATGCATGCCTACACACACACCTGGCTTGAGTTTTGGGCCACTGGGTCTGGAACTCAAACCACGGTTGACTACATGGGAGTCCAGTGACATAACCATTACACCATCTGCTGGTCTCCAGTATCTTCTGTTTTAAGAATAATTTCTTGGGAGTCAGTAGATAGTGTGGTAGTTGACTGCAGTTTGAGTCTCAGACCTGGCAACTATCTCTCTCTCTCCCTCTCTCTCTAGTGAGCACATATGCACTATAGCAAATTAAAATATAATAAAAATAATATAATTAAGTAAATAATATTTTTAAAAAGAATAACTTCTTAACATTTTACTTAGGTTTACAATAATTTTGAGTATATGTGTACCTACTAGAAAAAGACAGGCATGGGACCAGCAGTTGGTGTAATGGCTATGTCATTGGACTCCCATGTAGTCGACTACAGTTCGAGTCCTAGACCCAGTGGCTTAAACTCATGCCAGGCACGTGTGTGTGCGTGCCCAAGATCCTGAAAGGAGAATGGAGGAGAAGGGATTGTGGTATGGCCATCCCCCCTGGGGGTTAAGTTCTCACTTTCAGTTTCTCTTTCTTTCCCTGTCTTTCTGGCGAGTACACACACCCTTTAGCAAAAAAAAAAAAAAAAAAAAAAAAAAAATTAGAAATGTACAGAAAGAGGGAGAGGAAGAAAACATCCGCACGATGGGTCATAGTTACACTGTATTCCCTCCATTTCTCCATCCTATTGGTATTTGAGGCATGCACCCGCATAAACCCAGCATGCCTCTCAAACTAGAACCACATAATTTGCTGTGTGGGATCTAGCTGCCTTAGCCACCATCCTTTTTCATGACATCTAGTTTATCATTTTTTCTTTTATTATAATGTCTAAAAATTCTTAACCTAACCCTAGACCCCAAAGATTTTCTCATAAATTTTCTTTCAGAAGTTATAGTTTTACTATTTCTTATATTAAATCACTGACCAATTTTGAATTAATTTTTCTATAAAGTTTGAGATTATATCAAATTTAATGTATTTACCTATAAATACTCAGTTGCTCTAGCATCACTTGTTGAAAAGACTGTCCTTCCTCCATTGGATTGCTCTTGCATACATATATATCAAAAGTCAACAGAAGGACCAGCAGATAGTGTAAATGGCTATGTTGCTGGACTCCCATGTAGTCGACCGCAGTTCGAGTCCCAGACCCAGTGGTTTAAACTCACACCCGGCACGTGTGAGTACACACCCAAGATTCCAAGAGGAGAATGGAGGAGGGATTGTGGCCTGGCCACCCCCTGGGGGGTAATTTTTTGCTTTTTGTCTCTCTGTGTCTCTGTTCTTTTTGGTATGTGCACGCACCCTATAGCAAAAACCTCTCAAATAAATAAATAAGAATTAAAAAGTTAATTAGACATACTTGTATGGGTCTACTTTGTTCCATTGATTTAATTTTTTTTTCTTTTGCAAATACCATACTGTCATGATTACTGTAACTATGTAATAAATTTTAGTATCAGGAAATGATTCCTTTAACCTTATCTTTTTATTTATTTATTTATTTATTTATTTTTTGGAGAGGTTTTCTCACTATAGGGCACTTGCGCTCGCCAGACAGAGAGAGACATAGAGACAGAAAGCGAGAAATCACCCCCCAGAGGGG